TCCTTCTGAAAATGTTGTGAATAAACACATATAAAAAGTCTATAAATTATCCGAGTGCAAAATAGATGTAATGAGGCGGAAATTTTCTTATAATTTAATTGATTTGTAACAATTTGATATGAAATATAATGCTACGACAGAATAAAAGCCGAGGTATTAATGTGTTACAAAATGAGTTTTTCAAAATTCATTTATGTTATTGATTGCTCGTCACTTTTATTTAAAAAATAAAAATTCATTAATCATTCACGCCCACATTTCTTCCTATTATTATTATTGTTATTATCAATATTCATTTTTTTGCAATAGCTTTTATGAAAAGTGACAGCTTTTATGAAGAGTATATTTACATTTTCCTCCCCCCTCTCTCTTCTTCTCAAAATCTTTTTCGTTAATGTCTCCAAAAATGAAACTTTTGAAATTTTAAAGTTAACGGAGATATAAATATATTCGTTTCAATTTGATTGTGGTATCAAATCAGGATATGATAGATCCAATGAATGAATTAAATATTGAAACGTCTATGCTTGAATGCGATTTTTTCCTTCCTTTAATTAAAATTGCAATATAATCGAAATAATTTAAGTCTTGCTCGAAAATTATCCATCCATCTTCGTCAGCGATTATTCCCCCAAGTATCTTTTTACATAACAAAACAATAAAATATCCTGCATTCCATTAGTATTAACAATCAGATAACTTATCAAGATAAAAATTCTCATCTTCATAGATTGCTTTATCATTCGATCTTGCTAGCCAAATCGATCATAATTTAAATAAATTAGTTTTTAAACAGTGTTTTTCTAAGTTTGCCTTATTACCAATTTTTAAGCGATGGAATCATAATTATGTTTAAATATTACTTGAAAATTTTCATCCATTATCACAATATTGCATGGAACCAACGAAATCTCCTGATTAGATCATAATTTTTTTAAAAAGAGAAAATATATCAGTTATCAATAATACGATTACTTATAAGAAAATGATAACGGAAATGAATAATTCCCAACAGATTTGAAGTCAAATATATGTAGTAATTATTAAATTCTATTTAAAATTCCTTCCATGCCATACAAATTTTGTATAGAATTTGGCAGTGAAAAACGCACAACTTCAGAATACTATAACAAATCATATTACAAAAAAAATAATTTGGTTGAATTTCAATTTTTTTTATTTTTTGTGAAGCTTACTAGATAAAATGGTTCACATTTGTCTCAAAAGAGTCTACATCTTACCAACAATATCCATTCCCTTTTCATTCACATTCACTCAACGCATGTTTCCCTTCCTTCCCAAATATCTTAAAAATCCTGCAACTATTCCTATCTTTGTCATCCATCCATCTATCTGTCCATATTTCTTTCTTCCTCTTTTTTTTTTTTTTTTACAATATTTTATTTATGATACATTATATATAATAAGTGAGCTGTAAAAGTGTTATCCAGTATTTGTATAGTATCGTATAATATATATCTTGGATGAAGCTATTATGGTTTTTCATGATGTAAGATCCCGGAAGAAATTTGAGCCTAAGCCAGACAGTTGCTAAATAAATTAAATCAAAATCTTGCAGATGTGTACTACTACTTGCTACCGCTGTCATTGCAAGCAACGAAATGTTTTCCCTCCCTTTTAAATCTTATTGTCTTTAAGCCATTGATCCAAAATCTTCCCTGCATCTCCTCTCCTTTTTCTTTATTTTCTTTTATTATATTTTGGAAAATCAATAAAAACTACGGTGACTTTCACTCATAGTTTGATTAACTGCAATCAAACGTCATTATCATTCATCCTTTTCCGCTTCATCCATTTTTACCTTCCTTTTCTTCCAACTTATCCTCCAATCTTATCCTTACAAATAAAGAATGAATGCATCGATGATACTTTCCTTTCATTTCTCGTTTTTCATTCCTCTTTCTTCTTTTTTTTAAAGAAGGTGTGCATCCGTTAAAATGTCAATCGATTAGTGAGGAAAATGAACTGAATAGTAGAAAATGTTTTGTTTTTTTTTTTTTTCGTAGCTAACATATTCATTCATTTTGGTTTTATGTATTCATAAAAAATCACAAGAATGATCAGTGATCGTAGTATGAATTCACTTCAGTCATTTGTTTTCCTTGTTTCCTCCGAAAAATTATTGAAATATTTGAAAAGTGAAAATTAGAAACTTTTGATTAACTACTGCAAAATATTTGGGCAAATGATTAATGGATGTAAAAGCAAGGAGATGGATAAAATCAGAACCTTAATTCTTCATCTTCATCTTCATTCTCATTCATTGGTTATGCATTTCCGGTAATTGGTCAATTTTTCCATTTTTATATTTTCAATGAATATCAAACTAATTTGTTGTCTAACTGATTGCACACTATACTATTTAGATTACATATTATTTTTGAAAATATTTCGCCCAATTTTCAACTTGTTGCCGGAAAAGAAAAGAAGTTTTGCAAATTGTTCATTTAATGACATATTTATCGGAAGGATGTCTGCCATACGCTAGTATTTCAAAATGTTTGAAACAATTTTTATCGATATAATTTTTGGATGAAATTTGGGAAAATTTTCTTATTCCTCTTCGAAAGTACATGAAAATAAAAAGGTAAATAGAGAACAAAGAAACAACCAAAGATAAACTAAATTTTTTTGAAAATGAAGCAAAAAAAAAATGGATACTACATCACTAAAAGACGGAAATTCAGTTTCTGTTATACATACATACACATTTTTTTAAAATGTTTTGTTTACACATTGTAACACATCAGAAGTTATTGAAAAAAATTTCTGAACAAGCTATTATCGACCAAATATTGTATTTTGGGATTTTTCTGCACCATCATGGATTAGATTTGCTTTCATTATGTTTGTTAACACTTCATTTTCATTTATTTACATTCCATTTCTCACTGTTCAGGTATATTTATCATTTATCTTATTAGTAAACTAAACTAATTAATAATTAACGATTCATTCACCTATCAATATAGCTTATTCGTTTGGAAGAAAATAATGTTGATATTGTTTGAATTTGTTGTACTATTTTCATCAAAAATTCGTACTTCATGCTATTATAAACTTCAAAAAAATTGTGCAATTTTTCTAAAAGTTTATAACATTTCATTTAATTCTTGATTGCTCACATTTTTATATCAATTCATAGTGAAATTTTTTAGAGTTTATAAATGAAAATTTACTGATGGACTCCACTTTGAATTTAAAATTCTGTTTTTTATTTACTTAGAGAAATTTTCATTTCATCGTTTTTTAAATAATGAGCAAGCAGTAAATTACTCTACTAAAAAAATAAACTTTTAATTCTCTCTCCTAGAATCTCTACGGTAATATAAAGAAGTGGCCGAGTTGTATTATTATTAAAAACATCTGTTTCATCTTGTATATCAATAATTAAATTCTATTACTATCTGTCTATAATTTCAAAAAATCATTGAAATAGAAATTTCTGTTATCGGTAAACAGTTTAAGTTTTTGATAAGCTATCGTGAAGTGCAAAAAACTTGCCATGATATTGTTTAATATTTTATAAATGAAATTCTGAAAATGCCGTCAGTGGGTACATTACATAATATTACTTACCAACTGCACGACATTCTGAACAACCAGATACTGTATTGGTAACACAGGAAAGTAGTGGTAATTCATGAGAATTTTAAAAGTTAAATAATGAAATAATAAATAAAATCGAAAAAAAAAATTACAGATGGGAGTTGCTGAAAAGAAATAAATGAATTTAAGTAATTCCTGAATAATGACATAACGTAATTCACAATGCTGCAACAACCAGTATCGAGGGAATTGCGCTCGTTTCAATCACTTTCCCGATTTTCTGGACCGCGTGGATTGCTTAACAGGCGTCAGTCGAATTCTAGGCGTTATTTGCAATCACGGCGCAGAACTACCGAATCTTGCGTGGGTGATCCCCAGGTATATTTTTCTAAATTTTTTAGCATATGATTACCTTAAGTCTATTGAGAGATCAATAAATTGCAAAATTAAATACATAAAGAAAGAAGCCAATATAGGTCTTTTAAAAATTTGTGGCATTAAATTAATTTAGTATGATTGTAACAGAGATTGAATAGTATTTTTGATTACCAAATATTATGCAGGTGTTATCCGCACTGGGACCCGGTCCATCCACGGAATATAGAAGCTTTTTGCCGTATACGAAAAAAACTTTTTCGTTGTCTATGGAAGTAAGCCCATTACGACCATGGCATGATAGTATTCTGGAAGAAGACGATTATCAGAAACAAACCCAAGTTGGTTGGGATAGTGAAGCGGATATTATCAACGAAGAATGCGATTTACCCTATCCAGGGTTAATTTTTTTTTTTTCATCTCAAATAAATGATTGATTGCTTTTCGAATCCTTCGCCTTCTAGCTATTCTTCAGCAAGAAAAAATAAACAAATAAATCATGATGAAAATCAATCAATCCATATTAGCTAAGAATGACATGAAAAAGTTATTACTGTATAATTTTTACGTATTACAAAATAAAGTAAAGGTTTGAAACATAACGAATATTAAGATTTACGGAACCAGCATTACACTGTTTACGGCAAGCTGTACCACCACGTTCGTGGGCGTTACGGATGGTTATGAATCCGTGGTTTGATCGAATTACAATGATTGTTATCTTGATTAATTGTGTAACGCTTGGAATGTATCGGCCATGTGAGGATAACGATAACTGCACGACATATCGTTGCTATGTTCTCTCAACTATTGATCATGTCATTTTTGCATATTTTGCTTTAGAAATGGTTTGTTTAAACTTTATTGTTTATTTTTAAGTACTTGAAAAGGAAATTTGTCAAATTTCTCCCAAATATTTCAGTTCGAATGATAACTTTCAGTTTCGAATGAAAGCTTACTGAAAAAAAAGGAAAGAGAAATTCATCTTTTCTAGATGATCAAAATAGTTGCACTCGGGTTCTGTGGCTCAGCCGCTTATCTTTCTGATACTTGGAATCGCCTTGATTTTTTCATTGTTTGTGCAGGGTAATTTTTAATCTTTTCTTTCCTTCTTCTTTTTCCTTTATCCATTATCATTTATCACTCTTTGTTGTATTTAATATTTACGTGTCTTTCAGGAGATTCTTTTTTTTAAATGAATAACTCACTTTGATTGAGATAAAAAAAATTGACATTAGGGTCAAATATATGTCAAGTACGTTTACACTAATCCAAACAGGGTGACATGCCAGTTTTATAACAGATGGAATGAAAAATTATACCGACAAGGATTGATGCAGTTTGAATCAGATCGAATTCTTCTACTTTTTAAAAGATTCAGAGAAATATTACTTCGCTTTCTAAGAAGCTTCGAACGTTCATCTCCCATTATATTAATTTTCCAAATATTCTTATAAATTTCGATAAAATTTCAGGTGTGCAGAATATCTATTGCAAGAATATTTGGGTAATATAAATTTAACCGCTATACGAACAATTCGTGTACTTCGACCATTACGTGCTGTTAATAGGATACCATCTATGAGAATTCTTGGTTTGTTGTAACAATTTCCGATCTAAAATTCATCGTATATTTTCCAGAGAGAGGAAAAAAGGGAGAGAGAGAAAGAATGTGGCAGAGAGATCAATATTGGAATAAATATTACTAGGCTGAAATTTCTATTTAAATTAACTTTTGCAGTTAATCTATTATTGGACACATTACCGATGCTCGGTAATGTATTGTTGTTGTGTTTCTTTGTCTTCTTCATATTTGGTATTGTTGGTGTTCAGTTATGGGCCGGACTGCTCAGGTATCACTTTCAGGTTTCCTCAGATGTCAAACATCTTTTAACTAACAATATATATATTTGCTTAGGCATAATATTGTGATTTCGCGCAAATTAAAATTTTTAAAACAAAAATAGAAATCAAATGAAAATTAAAGTTCGGATTCAAATGCTTAACTACCACTTATATGAAATCTTTGATATTTTATTTGTGAAACTTTAAAATTATTAAATTTAATTTATTTTTTCAAAAAAAGGAAAACATTTCAGAAATCGTTGTGTTATTAGCTTACCAAAAATAAATGCTGGTATTGATGTCGCAGATATATCACTTACACGGTAAAAAAAATTTCACGATAGGTTTTCAATACTCCAACAAATAGTTTTTTCGATTAGTACATGATTTAAGCTATTAAGTTATCAATGGATTGCATTGGTGATCTTAACAAATATTGCAATCTTTATGAATTACTTGAAATGTTTTTGATATATTTTATGATACTGCAACAGGTAATCGATCACTTTTTGCTGTCCAATAATAATGTATCTTTTCCGTTACAGATATTATATACCGGAAGACACCTCTCTAGAATATATTTGCAGTCAAGCGGATTCATCAGGTCTTCACACATGCAATAATCTACCTCCTTACGTACACAACGGAGTTAAGTAAGCTTTCACATGTCAACTTCAGTTCATCTAAGTTTCTATTTTACCACAAATACGTGAAAATATTGGTAGAAATTCTACGCCAACTTGTCATTTAAATTTAAATTTTCATTCATTTTTTGTCAATTATTCGAATTCAATATATGTGATATGAAATATTCGAAAAAAAACTTACTTTGAATTATTGATGAGATAATTCTCCCACTACAGTACTATGTAAAAATGGAATGATTTTATGAAAAGTAAGGTCAGCTATTTGCAGTTTGTAAGTGTAATCAAATTTCCGAGAATATCAAATTCAGTATATGATAAGATTAATAATTCAGCTTTTCTATTGAATCTATTTAGAAATCAAATTTGATAATTCTTCAAATATTTTATTTTTCAGATGTAATTTGACGATATATGAATGGGCAAATATAAAAAATGACACAACGGCATGTGTAAATTGGAACGCTTACTATAGTGAATGTAAAGTTATGCATCGGAATCCATTCCAAGGATCGATATCTTTTGATAATATTGGTTTCGCATGGATTGCCATCTTTCTGGTACCAATTTTTCTTTTTTTTTCCTTTTTTGTTCCTTAAAATTTCAAAATATGTCATAAACAAAATAATTTATATTTTAATCTCATAGCAATGTACACTCTGGATTTTACGATCATTAGCGTAACTAATAAAGGAAATTTTACACAGGTAATAAGCTTAGAAGGATGGACAGATATAATGTATTACGTACAAGATGCGCATTCATTTTGGAATTGGATATATTTTGTTTTATTGATTATTGTAAGTTTTGTTACACGTTAATATTGCATGTTATAACAGTTTTTATTAACAAATAACAGTGTGTGAAATGATAAAATGGTTATTTACTTAATGTTTAATTCTTTTAAATTGATTTAATGAATCATTAAATATAATTTAAAATGTAATTTAAACTGGATTCATTTTTTCTACATAATGCTAATCTTTTGCAGATAGGTGCATTTTTCATGATCAATTTATGTTTGGTTGTTATTGCAACACAATTTGCGGAAACAAAACGACGCGAAACAGAACGAATGATTGAAGAAAGGAAAAGACTACGATCGTCGGGATCTCTTAGTTCGTTTAAACAGGATATATTTCCTTGCGCTGCACATTTTTCGCTTTCAACATTTCATAATGATATTGATCATTTTAGGTAGCGATCAAGCTCATTCATCGAGAGATGATGAAGCAGGTGACAGCATATATGCAACTATAGTTAAATCTATAAGACATTATTCTCGTCGACTAAAAAGAAGATTTTTGAAGGTACCATTGAGAGGAAATATTGATGTTCTAAATTAATCCATCACCCAAACATTCACAATTCAGCAAATGAGCAGTTGCATTGCTTGTACCAAAAAATATTATGGAAATTTTTATTTCAGCAATGGAAAATTTGGAAAGAACGTTTTGCGAATAGGTGGAAATTCTTCAAAAATCTTTCAAATAATACTCACCCAAAAACTGCAAATTCGGAAGAAACGAAGATGAAAGATATTCAAGTAGCTAATGCTGATACAGGTAACATAAGGAACTTGAAATTGAACGAAGAATTTAAAGCTTGTTAAGCTCGTGTTTGTAACAAACTATTCTTTCGTATCTTCACTTGAAAGCCAATCAGCAAATTAAGCATAATCTAATTATTTAGGAAATAATAATAACTAACTGGCAAAAACAGCATTAACAGATGGTGGACGATTTGACGAATTTAAATTTTAATATTATTAGTAAAAGTTTGTCCACTTTAAGAATGAAAAAATTTTAGAAAACACTGTAGATGATAAATTATTGCCGTTGGAAAGTACACACTGTGAAGAAAGTAAATTACAAGGCAGTATTAAGAATCTAAAATGGAATGGAAGTATGAATGGTACGCATTTCGTTTTTGTTTTTGATCGAAATTTGATGAATTATTTCAAGGATCTAAAGTTTATGGAGTGAGATTTTTATATTTCTTAATTTTGATAAAACAGCATTCACAGCAATTTTCCTACAAATTTACATAATTCTTATTTCTAACATTAAGTAACAGATTGTACAACAAACAGTCTGGAAAGCGATATAGAGATGGGTTCAACCAATGACAACCAGCTTATCTCTCTGAAAAAATCTCTTCGAGTGGGAGACTTATCGAGCGGTGAGGAAAGTGATGTGGAGCTTTCCGATCAACTATCCGGAACCGGAAGTGAGCTTGAATATGATAATGTTGGCGGTGTTGGTAGCAACGACGATTACGGTCATAGTTTCCACTTCAAACCGGTAACATGTATTCGTGATTAGATTTCATTTTTTTTTTCTAACATAAAAAAGAAGAGAGTGAACAAAATTTGAAAATTAAATTTGAGAAACAAAGCGATTAATTCTGATTTTTTTTGACAATATTCCGAACTTATCCATTCAATTTATTTGTTACATATTGCTTACTTACTATGTGCCAATACATTCAAGGAGGATCTGACTAAAACAAATTCCACACTATTTGGTCGATTTCGTGAAAAGCTTCGAGCATTTGTGGTTTGTAATCATTTCAAACGCGGTATTTTATTCGCTATTTTGATCAATACTCTCAGCATGGGTGTCGAGTACCATCAGCAGGTTTATTTTTATAATCGCAGAAATTACAAATAAAATTTATAAATTACAAGTAATACTTTGCCCGATTTTTGACCTGTAAGCAATGAGTATTAAATTTATTTTTAGCCGGAATTGTTAACAACAATCTTAGAAATCAGTAATTACTTCTTCACTGGTTTATTCGCATTGGAAATGTTGCTCAAAATAGGTGCAGATGGTTTATTTGGATATCTTTCAGATGGCTTCAATCTTTTTGATGGCGGAATAGTCGCATTGAGGTAATTTGTCTTCATATTTTGTAAGAATTTAAGCCTTGAAATATGACCTCCGATTTTTTTACACGATTTTTGTAAGGCTTAAAATATGACTTCGTTTCGTAACCAAACTGAAATATTTTATTAAAAATAAAAGGTCTTTTTTTTTTCAAATTTATTTGAAATCAGTTAATGTTTGATTATTTTCACAGTGTGTTGGAATTATTTCAAGAAGGAAAGGGAGGATTATCAGTGCTTCGAACATTTCGTCTACTTCGAATTTTAAAACTGGTCCGATTTATGCCCGCTTTACGGTATCAATTGCTTGTTATGCTACGTACGATGGATAATGTGACAGTATTCTTCGGATTACTCGTCCTTTTCATCTTTATTTTCAGGTATGCATGAGAGTCGTGTAAAGTTATTTTCAAACTTGCAAAATTAAAATAACTGCATATAAAATCTACTGGACACTTAAAAAATAGTTCAATTTTCAAAAATTGCTATATGTAACGCTATTAGGAAATGTACCACTTTTTTTTAAAGTTTTTTCAAGAGATTTTTGTTGCAGTATACTCGGAATGAATTTGTTTGGATGTAAATTTTGCAAAAATCCTGCTACTGCAATGGATCAGACAAAAAAATGTGAACGAAAAAATTTCGACTCTCTCTTATGGGCATTGGTCACTGTTTTTCAGGCATGTACCTCATTTGTGCATGCAGTTTTAAATTCAACGATTTGTGTTTTGAAATTTTTAAAATAGAAAGAGTATTTTTCATCAACAAATGTAATTTTCTAAGTTAAAAAGGAATATTGGTTTTACGAATTTAATAACAAACATTAAAAAATATACATTTTTTAAAATTTTCAAAACAAGTTGAAATAAAAAAATTTTCAGTTTACAAAGCTACATGCAGAGTTTTATATCAAAACCACACTTTCAAGATTCAAATTTACTTTTGATTTTATTTTCAAGATTTTAACACAAGAAGATTGGAATGTCGTTTTATTTAATGGTATGGCTCGCACAACACCTTGGGCTGCTCTATACTTTGTTGCTTTGATGACATTTGGTAATTATGTGCTGTTTAATTTGCTTGTTGCCATCCTGGTTGAAGGTTTCCAGGAAAGTAAAGAAGAAGAAAAACGACAATTGGTAAGTGAAATCAAATTCTTGTTAGGAAGATTGGAACAATTCTAAGGGCAAATACTTTGGAAGAAAATCTTAATAATTCAAAATTCTTGAAAATATCAACAATAATTTCAAGTTAATATATGTACTTCAAGTAATAAAACATAATGTATTCAAATCTTTTGTGTAAAACATAAGTATAACGAAGAAATCCGAAATCTCTGAATTTTTTATTTTATTCACTTTTGAATAATCAATATTTTTATTCAGTAATCACTTCTTCATAATGTACTCCAGGAAGAAGAAGCTATAAAAAAGGCAAATGTTGAGGAAGAAGAAAGAAAACGAGAATTGGAACTATTCCTAGCCAGAGCTTCCTCATCCACTTATCTTAATCAAAAGGTACAAATATTTTCTTATAATATTTGAATTGTAATTACTAGTTAAAAATAAGACAATTCTTGAAAGTTATCTGATAAAATATTTTTATCACACTTAATTGTTTTGTATTTCAGAATCCTCCAGTGTATTACACCTACAATCAAGGGTCAGGCAATTTTCAAGCGTTTCAAGATGTATACCGAATGCGATACAGTGTTCCAACAAGTGCAGATAATGTAAATTTTATCAAATTATGAAAATTTTCCAAATTATTTGAATATCTGACTAAAATTTATGCCCCCAAAAAAAGACGCAATTTTAATGCCATTTCTATTCTGTTACTGATGTATTAAATTATAAGTTACAAGTTATGCATTTTGCACTGTTAAATGAAATTTAACGATTTGCTACAAGTTTCGTCAATTTTTCTTTCAGGATGAGGAAAATGAAAAATCATTGGAATTAGGACAACGATCGTTTCTTGCTAGACGAACCGGTAGTTTTAATCGGCACCATCCACTAAGAACTATTAATCCCAATCTTAATTTTAGGTATTTTTTCATTCTAATTCGAATTAGTTAGAAACATAACTTTCCTGATAACTTGTTCTTTTTCAGCAATTTGTTAAGCTATAAAATTGGTATTCCCGATACCCAATTACCAGCAGTTGTACACTCTTTCAGGTAGTAGCCTATATTTCAGAACAGCACTCAATTTTATTGTCGATAACAATATAAGACTTAAGTTCGCTGAATTTACAATTAATAATACGATTTCACAAAAGGAAAATATCTCGCCGTAGAGTCAGTTGTCAGTCTTTATGACAGTACCACTTAAAAAAAAAAAAAACTTCAAGTCATTGTTTTTCATATGATAAAAAATGAAAAAAAAAATGGAAAAAAAATTCTTTTTTAAGGTTAGACCGACACACTTCACTTATACTGCCTCAAATGGCACCAAAGTTTGAGTCTTATTCAAGCAGTGAAGTTCGACAACGTATGAATAGTTGGTGTGGAATGCAAACAAGGCTCAATCCATTTCGCTCGATCGGTGGCCAACAAGCTGTTATTGAAGCTTACACAAGGGATAGGTTAATTGAGGTTAATTATATATCTTTATAATTTATATATTTTTTGATTGAATTCACGGAAAAAGTTCTACCCTATGCCTCTTCATGCAGAATAAAATTAATTAAATTCCCAAGTTGATAGCTTTTTTTCCATGGGATTTATATGAAATTGAAAATTTAAAAAGCACTGAAAATGCGTGGAATTTTCTTTTTCAGTTGAGAATGCACAAAATCTAAAAGTATTGCTTTAATCATGGCAAGACAAATTTCAATTAAATTAGAAATTTTGAGACATACTAAATGTTTTTTCGAAATGAAAACTTTGCATAAATTTAACATGTATTAAATATTATAAATCTCGTAAAGGATCAGAAGCGCTGAATTTTAGAAATAAATATAGCACAATATGTATGTTTTTTCTCCTCTGAAATAAAAAGTAAATTTAAGTTAACTTCGTAATAAGCTTCTTTGAAAAAAATTATTGCCGTTCTTTATTGCAATAATATGACATACAAAAATAGAAAGTTTC